CAAAAAAATGAAAAAATGTTCTCGGGTGAGGATTAAAAAAAAAAAAAAGAGTAGATCCTGCCCAGCCCATGTGGCTCAGTGGAATGAGTATTGTCCCATGCACCAAGTGGTCACCAGTTCAATTCCTCGTCAGGGCACATGCCCAGGTTGCAGGCTCAATATCCAGGAAGAGGCATGCAGTAGGCAGCTGATCGATGATCCTGAGTTTTCATCACAAGTTTATACTATTTTTTCCTCTTTTCTTTTTTTTGTATCAACAAAAGGTGATGGGTGTTAACTAAACTTATTGTGGTAATCATTTCATAATACATGTACGTCAGATCATTATGCTGTACACCTTAAACTTATACAGTGCTGTTTGTCAGTTAGATCTCAATAAAGCTGGAAAAAAAAGAAATCTCTTTCCTCCTGTACTTACTGATATTGGCCTCCAATTTGGCTGCCTTTCCTCCATATGTTTACAGCATATTTATTGCCCATCTTACATGAATGTGCATCTTTCTGTGGTCTTTCACTTTCCAAATTCTCAGACCCCAAGGAGAAGACTAGAAGAGTTTATGAGCAGCCCTGGTGGGTAGAATTTGCCTCACCCCTACCCTGGGCCCTCTCTGCTGCTAGCTGCCTGAACTAAGGAGAGATGCTCCCAGCTCAGACTCTGCTGTTGAGTGGGCTGGGAGGAAGAACAAGATCTCCCATGTCCAAGCCAAACCCGTTTCAAGCCATAATTACCTGATTTCAATTCCAGCCTCACTTGGTCAGGCATCATGTGTCCCTCCACGTTCCTCCATGTAGCCACAGACTTCGTGGCTAGTGTGATCAGCAGCAAACCATGTCACTTTGGCTGGTGTAGCTCAGTTGGTTGGAGCATCATCCTGTACACAAAAGGTTGTGGGTTCAATTCCTAGTCAAGGCACAAAGCCAGGTTGCAAGTTTGATCCCTGGTTGGAGGTAACTAATTGATCTCTCCCTCTCCCTCTCCCTCTCCCTCTCCTCCCTCCCTGCCTTTGTGTCTCTAAAAAAAAAAAAAAAAAAAAATCAATTGAAAAACAAAAAGAATCCAAAATGTCTGGGACTCTGCTGAGGGTGAATGGATGCCCATCATCTGTTCTTTGTATTGTCCTTTTGTTACCTAGATTTAGCCTCCAAGGTGTACTAATATCAAATGTGTGCCACCAAAAAGATGAGAAACTTGTCACCCTTTCCCAAAGGTGTGTTACTGGATGCTTACAACCAGCTCTTCAAAATAAAGCCCTGGCTTTCATTGTTTGTCAGTTTCTGAGGTATAAATACTCCTAAGCTAACTAACACAATGTCACTATATACAGAGTTGAGAGATGATGGACAGTAGCACACCTTTATATCATATTTCCATAGATAGAGGCAATAGGTATAAACATGTGTTAGAATGATTAGGAAGTTGTGTTTTGCCTAGCTAGTAGTACCATTGTTTTTCATATAATTTATTGTAAGCTTATATAATTTAATTTTCAATAATGGCTATATTTAGCAACTGGCTCACAGATTTCCTGAAAATTTAACAATTGTCTCTCTCTCTCTTTTTTTAGATAAAGTGGGAGGGAGAGAAACATCAGTGTGAGAGAGCTATATCACTTGGTTGCCTCCCACACGACCCCGACTGGGGATCGAACCTGCAACCAAGGTACATGCCCTTGATGGGGAATTGAGCCCTGGACTCTGGTCCATGGGCCAACGCTCTAACCAGTGAGCCAAACCAGCTAGGCCAACAATTGTCTCTTGCAAGCTGCTGTGAGCAGACTCTAGCACGCCACTGCTCTTACTCTTCACCTGTTTCAAAAAACTTTTTAAAAATCCTCACCAAAGGCCCTGGCCGGTTTGGCTCAGCGGTTAGAGCGTCGGCCTGCGGTCCCGAGAGACCCGGGTTCGGTTCCCGCTAAGGGCGCGTACCTCGGCTGCAGTTTGTCCCCGGCTCTGGTCAGTCGTGCGGGTGGCAGCCACTCGATGTGTCCCTTCAAGTCGATGTTTCTCTCTCTCTGTTCCTCTCTCCTCCTCCTACTCTACCTGAACAAAAAATGGAAAAATGTCCTCAGGTGAGGATAAAAAAAAAAAAAAAAAAAAAAAAATCCTCACCAAAGGATATTTTTCCATTGATTTTCTAGATAGAGTGGAAGGGAGGGATTGAGAGAGAGAGAAACACTGATGTGAGAGACACCTCGATTGGTTGCCTCCCAAATGACCAGGGCCAGGGATCAAACCTGCAACCCAGGTATGTGCCCTTGACCAGGAATCGAAACCTCGACCCTTTGATCCACAGGCTGACACTCTAACCACTGAGCCAAACCAGCCAGGGCAACAATTGTTTCTTGCAAGCCACTGTGAGCAGACTCTGGCACACCACTGCTATTACTCTTCACCTGTTTCAAAAACCATTATTTAGGGAAAGGAACTTTTGTGTAGGGTGGAGAGGCCTAGAGAGCCATGGGAAAGGGAAGACCCAGCAGTAATTTCCTGGGTGAGGAAGTTGGTGGGGGCTATGCATTGAGTTCTAGGTACCTAACCCTGTTGGTCCAGTGGTCCTCCAGCCTGACCACACTACTGAGGAGCATCTGGACCCACAGTAAAGCATAAACATGAGCTTTCATGCCTTTAAGGACTCCTGCTTTCTTCAGATCACTTGAATATTTCTTCATCAGAGAGACCTTCACTGTGCTCCCCAACTTAAAGATGATCTCCATGATATACTCTCTCAGCTCTATAATCCCGGAAACATTCTCCACAAGTGGCCATCACCACATTCACATGTGGGTTTCTATTTGCTGCCATCTCTCTACTGGGAACTCCAGGGGCCACACACTCCCAGTGCCTGGAGGGTTACCATCACATAGCGGGCACTCAGTGAATTTTTGTAGAAGAGGAAGGGCCTGAGAGAGTAGGGAGAAGAGCCCGAAGACAGCCAAGAGAGTTCATTTAACTTATTTGATTTCTTTGCCCAAGAGGAATAACCACTGGGAGTGTACTGAGTACCTTTTGATGCAAGGGATGCATCAGTGAGGTGCTCTTAGCTGCCAGTGACAGAGACCTGATTTTAAATGGCTAAAACAGTAAAATCTATTACCTTACTAAGAAGCCCCAAGGTAGGGTGGCTCTAGGTTGGTGTTTTCAGCAGCTAGACGATATCTTCAGAAACCCCAGTTCTTCCCTCTTTCTGCTCTGCCTTCTTAGGGATAAATTCTGCCCTTATGCCAGGTCCCCCACAGCTATTGGGAGTTGGAGGAACCATCTGAACATAGTCATGTCCTATGGCATCAGCTCCTTCCTGTGTTGTTCTCTTTAGGAACAAAGAAAGTTCTCACAGAGGCCACATGCCCTGTTTTAATACAGCCCTGAAAGAGGACTGGAATGACCAAGATTCTCACAGTGTGGTGCCCAGACCAGCAGGATAAGCATCACTTGGGAGCTTGTTAGAAACTGAGGGGGTGGGGCCCAACAATCTCAGAGGATATTTTTTCCCTGTCTGGTCTGTGGGCCGACGCTCTAACTGCTGAGCCAAACCGGCCAGGGCTTTCTTTCATTGATTTTTAGAGAGTGGAAGAGAGAGGAAGAGGGGGAGACAGAAAGAGAAACATCGAATTGTTGCACTACTCATTTATGCACTTACTGGTTGATTCTTTTTTAATTTTTTTAGTTGATTTTAGAGAGGGAGGAATGGGGGAGAGAGCACATGAGAAACATTGATGTGAGAGAAAGATATTGATTAGTTGTCTCCCTTATGTACCCCAAATGGGGATTTAACCCAAAACCCAGGTATGTGCCCTGACCTGAATCAAACCCACAACCTTCCCATGCACAGGACAACGTTCCAACCAAATGAGCCACATTGGCCAGGGCCAGTTGATTCTTGTATACACCCTGACCTGAGATCAAACCCGAAACCTTGGCATATTTGGACGCTCTAACCAACTGAGCTACCTGGTGAGGGCCTTTGATCTGAGTTTTAAAAAGCCCTTCTGGTGATTTGATGCTTAGTAAAATTTAAGAACCAAAAAATTGTGAGGGTGTGGAGAAAAGGGGACTCTAATACACTGCTGGTGGGAATGCAGACTGGTGCAGCCAATATTGAAAACACTATGGTGTTACCTCAAAAAATTAAAAATTGAATTGCCATTTGACCCAGTGATCCCACTTCTAGGAATATACCCTAAGAAGCCTCAACACCAATCAGAAAGAATATATGTACCCCCATGTTCATAGCAGCACTATTCACAATAGCTAAGATCTAGAAACAGCCCAAGTGTCCATCAGTAGACGAATTGATACAAAAGCTGTGGTACATATACACAATGGAGTACTATGCAGCTGTAAGAAAGAAAGATCTCTTATCCTTTGAGACGACATGAAGAGGACCTGGAGAGTATTATCCTAAGCGAAACAAGTCAAGCAGAGAAAGACAAATATCACGTGATCTCATTTATTTGTGGAATATAATAAACATTAACAGTCTGAGGAACAGGGTAGCCCCAGAGACATGGAAGTAGGGTATAGACTGACAATCCTCAGAAGAAGAGGTGGAGGGGGAGGGAAGAGATAAGCCACAGAACTTATATGCATGTACACATAACTGATGGACATGGACAACAGCTGGGGATGGGGTGGGGGGGATGGGGAGGAGGGTGTCAATGGAGATAAAAGGAAACATCTGTAACAAAAATAAATCAATAAAAAATAAATTTTAAAAAAGAACCAAAAAATTTGGCTGGACTAATTGTGACTCACCCTTAAGGGGGAAACACCTGAACTCAACTGAGGGGAAATTGGTGGGGATTGGTGAGGTTGAGCCATCCTCAGTGACCGACTGGGGTTGCAGATGAGACATTTTGTATCCACTGCTTCTAACCAGGGCAATGAAGACAAGGCCTAGAGCCCTGTGATAACAGGCAGGGTTGCCCAGGCAAAAGCCAATGACTGATGACTGGCTGTGTGTGTTTGACCCTCCCTCCTTTGCCTTCTTTCCTTCCCATCAGCTACCAGAGATTCACTGACTGTTACAAGTGCTTCTACCAGTTGCAACCTGAGATGACACAACGAATCTATGACAAGTTTATAACTCAGTTGCAGACATCTATCTGGGTGAGTGGCAAAAAGCCCAGCAGCTAATGCTGGCTTGGGTCCTTCCTCCAGATTGTCACTCCCCTGGAGGCAGGGACCCTACTACCCACCTCTTTCTATCCTCACTCCCTACAATGTTTTTTATGCCTGTCAGGTTGCAATGGCAGTTGTCCCTCCCTTCAAACAATGTGGGTATCTTAAATGCCTCTTCTGTCATTGTCCTATATTGTAATTATATGTTTATATGTTGTCTGCCCCAGTAGAGCCGTGAGTTCAGCAAGGGCATGACTGGGTCTTACTTTTCTTTGTATCTCCAGCACCTGGTGCAGTGGCACAGAGGAGGCATTTAACAAATTGTTGAATTCAGCCCAGGTGGTGTGATTCAGTGGTTGATCATTGACCCATGCACCAAGAGGTTGCCAATTCGATTCCTGGTCAGAGCACATGCCCAGAGGCCTGATCCCTAGTGGGGAGCGTGTGGGAGGCAGCCAGTTGATGTTCTCTCTTATCAGTGTTTCTATCTCTCCCTCTCCCTTCTTCTTTCTCTAAAAAAATCAATAAAGAAAAAAAAAGTTTTAATTGTTGAATTTAATGGAACTGCATATTAGAGGGAACACAAAAAAGGACAGAATCCCATTCATGATTTCTCTCAAGAATTAAACTTCACTTTGGTTACCCTTCAGGATGGGCCCCTTAAGCATCCAAGTGTACGTGAGGTATCAGCAAGGGCGTGGGATAACGGCAAGGCCTGCAGCGCTCATATGATGGGCAGAAGGAGAGGCTGGCATCAGGCTCTTTATAAATGTCTTCTACCTGGGGCTCTCTGGTCTCTAACCGCTGAGCCAAACCGGCCAGGGTTCTATTTTCTTAATGTAAAAGTCACATATAGAAAAATTGGAATGTTTGTATAAAGATACAACAGAATTTAGCCCAAATCTTACTAAGTGCTGTTAACAGTTTAGCATATTTCTATTATAGGCTTGTCTAGTATCATTACAGCTCTTTCTTCCTTTCTCTTTAGGAGGAAATCTCTGAAATCAAAGCAGAGGGAAACCTGGAAGCTGTCTTGAATGCCTTGGATACAATTGTGGAAGAAGGCAAAGACCGAAAGGAGCCAGCCTGGTGAGAAGGACCGTGGGAGGGCTCATGGAGAAAGAGGCAGCATTTTAGCATCTTGAAGGAGCTTTTATGATGGACCCATATGCATGAGACTTTGGGCTCACAGAAAGAGGACTCTGTGACAGGGACAGGTGGAGAGGACAGACACCAAACAATAACCCCAAATAGTGAAATGTATAGCCCCCTCTGGGGGAAGAGAGCCCTGGGGCAAGTGCATGTTATCCATGGGTTTGAGGCAGAGTGAGGGAAACCTTTCTGGGAGCTCATTTCAGGATCTATCTAACCTATGAGAGGGAGGGTAGGGGAAGTAGAAAGAGATTGAATAGTAGGTTTGGAATTATGTCCATTAGGCTGGCTTGGACATCTGGCTTTTATTTGTTTGTTCATTCAACAAATATTTAGAGTACAGACTGTATACCCAATAGTGTTTTAGATGCCAGAGATTCGGCAGTGAACACAACACACAAGACCTGCTTCTCCTGGAGCTGACATTTCTTTTTTTTTTTTTTTTTTTATCCTCTCACGAGGACATTTTTGCATTATCTTCAGATAGAGTGGGAGGGAGAGAGGGGTGAAGAGAGAGAGAGAAACATCAATGTGAGAGAGACATATTGACTGGTTGCCATCCACACAACCCCAACCGGGGCAGGGACAAACTGCAACCGAGATACGTGCCCTTAGTGGGAACTGGACCCGGGTCTCTCTGGTCCGCAGGCTGACACTCTAACCACTAAGCAAAACCTGCCAGGGTCTGGAGCTGACATTTCAGTGGGCAGCCCTGCTGCCTGGTGTATCCCATGCAGGATGGAGGAGTGGGCTCTGGGATGAGGAGTGAAGAGTTGAGGCCACCAAGACCACAGGTGGCCTGAGCTCCTGCCTCCTTCCACTCTCTCTTGCCTGATTAGGATCCTAGGCCAAAGAGAGTAAATACCCTTTTTGTGCTTTCCAGTTTTTAATTAAGTTTTTATAATTGAAAAAGAATTTTTCTCTCTCTCTTTTTTTAATCCTCACTCGAGGATATTTTTTCCATTTATCTTTAGATAGAGTTGGAGGGGAGGGAGGGAGAGAGAGAGATACAGAGAAACATTGATGTGAGAGAGACACATCGACTGGTTGCCTCCTGTATGATTCCTACCAGGGTGGGGGACAAACCACAACCAGAATCAAACCCGTGACTCTTTGGTCCGCAGGCCGACACTCTAACTACTGAGTCAAACCGGCAAGGGCTGAAAAAGAAATTTTAAAAGAATCTGCAGTGCCCATCAGAACTGACCCATCTCCTCACTCTTGGCGTCCAGAATCTGCTATAATCTTGCCTTCCGAGACTTATCTTTCCTTATCTTCCCTTGTTAGCTAATACGAGGCCCTCTCCAGGTCTGGGCCCACTCTCAGGCAGCCTCTCCATTTGGGAGGGCTCAGCCTGCCACCACCATCCCCACACCTCTCCTGCTCAGTCTAGATTGGATACACCATCAGGGCACATGGTCAGTAGGACAGAGCAAAGGCTGAAAAGTCACCTCTAGCCCTGGAGTGTTAGGCGTGGGGGAGTGTATGTGGACAAAAGGAGAATATTGGGTACAGGCTGGGAAGGCTAAGATATGGGCAGTATGAGAAAGGGGAGAGGTGGATTCCTGGGCACTGAAGCTGAGGGACAGGAGGTTAGTGTTTCCATCAGGAGCAGGAGCCACGTTGGTTGGGTCGTAGGGGGTGAGAGGGATCCCAAGAGAGACTCTGAAAACCAGTCCAACTTGATATTGGAGGTGGGAATATCACAGATTAGAGCTGGAAGTAGAACCCTCACCCCACACACAACTTCCCCTTCCCTGTCCTGTGCTCCTTGCCATTCTCCAGGCGCCCTAGTGGGATCCCAGAGAAAGACCTGCGCAGCATCATGGTGCCCTACTTCCTGCAGCAGCGGGATGCCCTGCAGCGCTGTGTGCAGAAACAGGAGGCTGAGAACAGGCAGCTGGCAGATGCCGTCCTGGCTGGGCGCAGGCAGGTGGAGGAGCTGCAGCTGCAGGGCCAGGCCCAGTGGCAGGCTTGGCAGGTGAGTGCCTTGGCCCTGCCCTCAGGCATCTGTTCCTTGCTGCAGCAGAGGAGAAAACAGACCAAGAGAGGTCAGAAACTGAGGGGGACATTTTGGGGGCCCTTACTGAAGATGGACTCCGCTCTGGTGAGGCCCAGCCTACGTGGCCAAGGCACCCAGCCTGCCATAAATACCTGTTGGGTGTGGGAGGGAGGGACTTACTTAATGCCCTGCTGGGCCTGTGACATGAGCCACAGATCTACACCATTCTGGAAGAACCCAGGAGGCAAGGACAGTAGACAGAAAGGGTTTGGATTTTCTCCTTTCCCAATTTGTCTCTTTTCCCATTGATGGCAGGCTCTACACAGAGAACAGAAGGAGCTGGTGACCACACTGAGGGAGCCTGAGTAAGGGGGAGATGGCCAGGCCCAGGAGCAGAAGGTGGTCAAGGTCAAGGACCTGTGCAAGCTGCCTCTCAGAACAGCTGAAATGTTGCCTAGTCCCTAAGCAGTGATGGAATTTGCTGGCGTGGGGGGTGGGGGGTGGCGGCAAGGCCTGAGCAGTCCTCAGTGCTACTGTACCTTGGGGCTCTCTTGGAGTCACACACACATTGCCTTCAGATTCCTCTGTTTTATTCTAACTTGAGGATTCTTGGCCAGGTCCCACCTGAGAATCAGCACCATACCTTCTCTCCTCTAGGTTCTGGCCAACACCTCTACTCCCCCCCAACCCCCAACAACCACCACCACCACCACCACCACCACCACACACACACACACACACATCCCCGCCACGCCTACCAGTTCCTTTTGCCTCCCTAGGACCTCGTTTGGGGAATCTGTTTTCAATCTCCACTGATTGCCCCCTTGCTGGCCAGCTGAGGGCCCATGCCATGTTTTCTCCACATCCTTAAATAAACTTCCTCCACTACACTGTAATCTGTAAGGATGCTTCCTCTGCCTGGGGCACTTGTGGGCCAAGACCCCCTCCTGGGCTCCTGAGTTCTGGTTCCTCAAGGCCTCAGTTGCAGTTCACTGAGAGCCTCCAGTCTCGGGTGGGTTGGCAGGGGAGTATCTGACTATCATGTGCAGAGGAGCAGTGAAGCCCCTTGTCACAGAAACCGGGACCCCTGGGTTCCTTGAGGCCAGGACAAGCTTTCAGGGGAGTGTCACTCCGACCACGCCAGCCCACTCTTCTCTTTGCTGGTTTGGGTTAATTCTGAGGAAGGCTTTGAGGGTGGGCCTCAGTTTGCATCTAATGAGTACACACGAAGGGCAGGTGGGCCCTCCAAACAGCTGGGCGCTTTGTTCTCTCGTTTCTCATGCCTAACTCAGCCAGGGCTAGCAGAGCATCAGGAGGGTCTCAGCAAAGGCAGAATATGTGGTTTCTCCAGACCAGAGGGTGAAGGGGGAGGGGATGTAGGGCAAACTTTTTTCCCTGGTGAGGGTCTCACCCTAACTCTGGAGGGGGGCTTGGTTGGGTCTGTCTAGGAGCACTGGGACACTGAGGAAGATAGCAGGTGTTCCCTGCTTGCCACCCTCACCCTGACCCCCTAAATTGAGCCCATGGCTCTTGTCTCCCCCTGGAGTTGCAGCATTCAACCATCCAGATGCCCTCTTGTCCCCTCCTGACCAGTCACAGGCCCTCGGGGGCACAGGGACATGCTTTGTCAGGTGAGTGGGTGGGGAGTGAGGTCATCCCCTTCCTCCTCTCCAGGTCGAGCTGAGGCAGAAGCAGAACTCAGGTGTGGGATGGGGTTTTTCAGTCTGGATGTTCTGTGCCTCGGAGGCCATGTCCCCAAGGTTTTTCACACTGGGGAGGCTGCAAGGCCAGAAAGAGGATCAGGAGCCCAGAGGTGCTCTTCATCTCCCTGCTCCTCAAAGGCCCTGTGAGGAACACAGGGAAGGGGTCCCCGCCACATTGACCACCTGGCCTGCCGCAGAGGACTGTCCTTAATCTTATGCCCAGCCCCATCTGTGTTGCCTTTGGCTGTTGGCTCTGTGCTATCTGACCATTTCTCCTGTCCTAACGCCTAGGGCTGATCAGAGTTAAGCCGCCTGCACACCAGGCCTGCCTTTGGAGTCTCAAAGGGTGAATGAGGCCATCGCTGGGCACTCCCTCCCTGAGGTTTGGCTCCTGCCCATGGCTGACAGTGGAAATCACAATCTGTGAGAAAGCTGTAGCCCAGCTCTGTTCTGATCTATTTTGGATCTCTGGGCCCGTAAATCTTTGGGTCCCCCAACACCCATCCTGGCCTTTTCATCTGGTGCTCAAATTGAGGCTGAGGTTGGGTCTCTGAGAGAGAGTAGGGGCTGGGGGACCTGGGGTGCCCCTCTTAGGGAGGGGCAGGGGGCATCCAGAGGCTGGCAGTCTTGGATTACCACCCAACCTCCTCCTTCACTCCCAGGGTCCTGCCCAGGCTTCCCTGGCTCCAGCCACAACATCCTGTGTGGTTTGGCCTATAGATCTGGAGCGGATGACCCCCAAATAGCCCTGGCAGATTCCCCTGTGACCCGCCCACACCACAATCAGGCGCCCCCACCCTGGCCTCCAGGGCACTGCCCAGAGAGTATAAATGGTGCTGGAGGCTGGTGGACACAGGCGAGCTGAGCCCGAGCAGCAGACCCAACGAAGCCTGAGACCCAACATGAGGCCCCTCGTGCTCCTCGCCCTACTGGCCCTGGCTGCACTCTGCCTCACTGGCCAGGCAGGTAAGTATCCCCCATTCCGCCCCAGACAGTGAGGAGGGGAACTCTTACTCTTCTCACCCCTCCACTGATAATCCCGTTGGCCCTCTAACTACCCTCCTATGGGCTCAGTCCATTTGCTCCTAGCTCTGTCCTTGTGGAAGGAGAGGGGGAAGAGCAAGCTGCCAGAGGCAGGGGGCAGCAGGGGCCTAGGGGTCAACAGGGGTGAACCGGGCTTCTTTTCTTTGCAGATGCAAAGCCCAGTGGTGCAGAGTCTGGCAGAGGTGCAGGTAGGAGGCAGGCCTGATGGGGCCTTTGTGCCATATCACCCAGCTGCCCAGTCCCTGCCCCATCATCCCAGTTCCCTCAGTCCTATTCCCCCTCTTCTGCTGGCTCCTGTTTGGCTGTCAGAAAGGCCCACCTTCTCCCCACCTTATCCCCCCAAATGCACAGCCACCTGATCCCTGCCCCTCTACTCCACAGCCTTCGTGTCCAAGCAGGAGGGGAGTGAGGTGGTGAAGAGACTCCGGCGCTACCTGGGGTGAGATAAAAAAAAAGGTGCTGGGAGGACAGGGAGGACCCCTGGTGAGGACTCTGGAGTCCCATGTGCATTGGGGGTGCGGGGGAGTTTGTGCTGAGGCTGATGCCACTGTGTTGGGCTCTCAGAGTCCCAGCCCCCTACCCAGATCCCCTGGAGCCCAAGAGGGAGGTGTGTGAGCTCAACCCGGATTGTGATGAGCTGGCTGACCACATCGGCTTCCAAGAGGCCTACCAGCGCTTCTATGGCACAGCCTAGAGCTTGCAGCCCTCCTGGCGGTCCCCTGCTCTGGTTCCTCTCCTGGACCCCCTCCCCTTCCCTTGCCCTGACCTTCCTGCACTATAAATGTGGGGTCACCATCTGCTCAGCTGCTCCAGAATAAACTCCAAAAGAGGAATTGGGGTCTCTTTGTCTATCTATGGAGTGTGTGGCAGGTGAAGGGAGATGCTGGGAGGATGGGGAGAAGCAAGAAGGTTTTATTTCCTATAGTCCCAAAAAAATGCTTCCAAAGTCTGTTGATTTTTTTTTTTTTTTATTTGTACCTGCCTCATTCCAGAAGCACTAAAGGTGGCTTCCTAAAGTCTAACTAGGGTTTCCCCTCTAGCCCAGCACCCTTCCCTCACCCCAGCCCACTGTACCATCCATGACACCCAAATAGACCCAAATCCCAAAGACTTGAACACCTTGAGTACATGACTGTGACCAGGACAGACTCAACACTATAGGCAAAGGGCTGCCGGCAGATGGCACTGCCTGGTTTGGGAGGTGGCGGGCAGGAGCAGGCCTCCTGGCCTGGTTAACAAGCATTCAGGGTTGACCTAGGTTAGTCATGTTAGTTCTTCCTTGGGCTGAGCATAGAATTTCAGGAGGACCAGAAATGGGACCAGATGTAAAAGGGCCCCAGCACCTCCCCATCTCAGCCTCTGCCAGGGCGGGAGGGCTCTCCAGCCTGGACACACACATGTTCCCTCTCAGACCCTCAGCACTTCCCCAAGACCCATCAAGAGCACCCCCTGTGACCCTCCTGCTCTGCCAGCCCCACCAGCTCTTCTCTCCTATCCTTTCTTTGCCTTTTCTCCTCTGTACTCTCTCCTCAGTTACTTTTGGTTCCAGGCTTAGATGTGCCCCCAACTTTTTCAGGTCTGGGTCTGGGCTCCTCCCCAGCATCAAGGCCTGGCCTTTGCCTCCCTCCAGGGCTGGCTCAGAGATGGGGCCTCACTGTTGTTTGGTGTTAGTACCCCCCTCCAGCGGGCCACTCTGCAGTAGGGGGCATGTACTGGGGACCCGAAATAGGGAGGCTGTGAAGGCAGCAATGATGAGCAGGTTCCCAGCCACTGCCAAGCCTAGCGTGGTCACTGTGCCTGCCAGGCCCAGGGGCGGGTCCTGCGTGGCCAGCCAGGCTTGGCGAGATCCCATATCAGCCAACACTGCCTCCAGCTGGAAGTGGGTACCCAGCACTGCACAAATGTGGAATAGCTGGTGGCTGTGGCCTGTGAGGAGGATGGGCAGGTCAGAGCACATACCCCATTCCCAGGGCTGTCGCAACTCACTCTGACCCATGGCAAGTCACCCCATTCTCTTGGCCTGCTACTACCCTAAAATTAGGAATAAAAAACCTGATTCCAAGAGTTATTGGAAAAAGTGAATGAGCTGATATGCATAAAACATAATGCCCCTAGCTTTGCTTGCTGTTATCTGAGAAGTGGAGGGTGGGCCTGGACTCTGAGGATCTTCCAGTGACACTGTCTTCTGGCTGTAATATACTATTTACTCAGTTCAATCTCTGTGCTCTGGGAAGCTGTCTCCCCTCACCCTTTCCTAGGCCAAGCCAGGACTGCTCTCACCGATGTAGTCAAAGCGTCCTGGTGCCAGCCGCTCAGGCAGGTGAGAGGCGAAGAGAAAACCAGTGAGCAGTGCACACAAGAGGTGGTAGCCATGGCTGGTGCTCAGTGCCTCCTGCCCACAGCTGTGGCCCCTACCCCAGCACAGTCCCAGCTGGCAAAGGAAAAACAGGGCTGAGCGGGAAGGGCTTGGGGAGTGGACCCAGATGTGTCTGGGACCAAGTGAGGGGGAGGGCACAGCCAGGCTTGGTGCTGGGCCTGGAGGGTGGGCAGCAGGGCTAGGTGAGGGATTGAGAGGGCAGGGCTGGAAGGGGCACTCTAAGGGTCAGAACAGGAAAACGGGGGCCAAGGCGCCCTTACCCGATAGAAGAGTGGGAGGTTGTCATACAGGAAGGGGTAGGCGAAGGCGCCTGTACGGAGGATCTTACTGAACCCAGGGCTTTCCAGCTCAGGGAACCTGGGAAGCAGGAGGGAAAGGCTGGTCACTATCCTGGTACTAGGGTGGGTATTAGAGGAAGGCAGGAGGCCTCTGACCAAGATGGAATTGTCGATATAGCCTAGTGATGCATGACCCCTCTATAAATGACCACATCTGTAAAATGGGGATAAAGACATCTTAGGTGGCTGGGAGAATAAAAGAAACAGTACATGCCCGGCCGGTGTGGCTGTGGTTGAGCATTGATCGACCCATGCACCAACATTCCTGGTCAGGGCACATGCCTAGGTTGTGGGCCAAATCCCTAGTAGGGGGGCATGCAGGAGGCGGCCAATCGATGTTCTGTCTCATTGATGTTTCTCTCTCTCTGTCTCTCCCTTCTCTCTCTAAAATCAATAAAGAAAAAAATATTATAAAAAACAACAGTGCAGGTATGGTGCTAGCGCACAGGCTCTGGCATACATTAAATCTCAATAAATGGTCCCGTTGCTCTTAATATTGTCCAAGAGCGATCCCAAGTGTGTGATTGAGGGTACCCTGTCCTGTCCCTCCGCCTTCCCCTTCAACACTGGCCAAGAACCCACCGGGAGTAGCAGGAGAGGCCGGTGCACAGGAAGGAATTGAGTGCGGCGGCAGGCACAAAGAGCTGATGCAGGCGGCCGTGCAGCCAGGAGGTCGGCATGGAATAGGCGGCATAGGGGAAGGCGCAGCCTGGGGGGCGCGGGGCAGGAGCTGAAGCCCTAAGGGCGTGCTCGGGATGGAGCACCGTGCCATGCCACGCCGCCCACCCCCAAACCCCCTCATCCTGTTGTCCCCACCCTCTACCCCCGTCTCCCGCGGGGCTCACCCAGGCTGTAGAGGCTGAGCGCTCCATAATCCATGAAGTAGCAGATGTGCCGAGCGCGGGGTGACATAGAACTGAAGGTGTGCGCACAGCACGACGTGAAAGGGTAGAGACAGGCGGGCAGCAGGAAAACCAGCAGCGGCCAGTGGTAGGGCTCCGCCCAGAAGCCCGGGCCCCCTGAGAGCGCCAGCAGGCGCCACAGGAAATACCTGTGGCAGCATGTGCTCAGGCCGCCGCGGAGTCCCGCTACTCCGTCCCGCAGCCTGCCCCAGTACCCCTCTCAGCGCAAGGCCGCAAGGCCAGGGACAGCCTCCCTCACCAGGTGGGCAGGAAGTGAGTCCAGATGTTGACAGTCTCGTTGGTCATCTGGAAGGAGCTGAGGATACAGTCCAAGGCCGAGCTGGTGGGGCAGCGGTAGCCAGACATGATGCTGTCTTCCCAGAACACCTGGGGTAGTTGCGGGGGGGGGGGGGGGGGGGGGTCACTATGCTGGATCCACTCTCTGAGAGAGCTGTGGAAGCAGGATTGACGACAAATGGGCTGGAGGTCATAATGGCCCCAAAGCCAAACTAAATCTGACTTCCCTCTTATCACAGGTTCTAATACCCAGAAAGCAGATAAGAAACAGAAGAGCCAAGGAAAGGGGACAAAATAGGATGGGGGAGTCCACCAGCACAGACAGGGTGCTCTGGGGAAGGGGGGACTCTGAAAGAGCATTCTGGGCCTGTCACAGGCCTGTTCCTTAGAGAACAGAAGAGTCTCAAACTGGAATGGGAGGGATAAAAGTTTGCAGGAGGGACTTCCCCCACTGCTGAAAGAGAAGAACCTCAACCCCAGTCAGTCCCCTGGGGAGTAGTTGTTGAGTGTAGCCCCTCACCCGGGGGACCTGGTGGACTTGCAGGAGTTGGGGTAGCTTGAGACTGAGCATGGTGGCCTGGCACCTCCACGTTGACCTAGAGACAGGGGTTGAGCAGGGAGGAAATCAGGTATCTGCTCCCATCTACAGACTCCTTGTCACCCAGGTCACTGAGTCCCAGAGTAGGCTGTACACACATGCGTGTGAATCGTAGGTGGCTACTAAGCTTCCTTCAGGACAGAGGGGGCTGGTCCAGCTTCCCTGACCCCTCCCCATCCTAGCCTAGGGGCATTCAGTTTCCCCTTTGGGGGGCTGGTCAGCCTTAACCCAGTAGAGTGGAGGGGGCCTTCTCCCCAGCCTGAATGCTGCCTCAGTTAGTAAACCTAGACCCTGAGTCCAGTCCCCCAGCCCTCCAGTTCTGTCTCAGGAGATGCTTAGCTCATGGAGGTCAGCACAGAGAGACCCCAAACCCACCCAACACCAATGAAGGCCCTTTGCCCACAGGGTGCAGGCTGAGCACAGAGAATTCCTGGAGAGGCCAGATGCCGGGCAAGGAAGTAGGGGGATGCCTGGCTCTTCTCTGAGGACACTTGTGCCCCTGGGACATTCAGGGTCCCTGTCCCTCCTAAGCCCCATGCCCCTCAGCCCCAGACCTGTGTGCTGCCTCCGAGTGGCCCGGTAACCGTGGCTCTGCTGCCCCACCCGCCTCAGGCCGCCTCTCCCAGGCACATTCCTTGGCACAAGTGGTGGGGCTGGGCCAGCTAGGCGGGTGGAACCGCCCCAGGAGGTGGAGAATAGGACACTCCCCCCATCTCCCAGGGCCAAAACTTTCCAGCAACTCTACAGCCTAGTCCCGCCTCTCTTCCTGCCGCCAGCTTCACGGGTGCACAGTGGGCCTCACACCACCAGTCAGTCCCCCAACAGCTTGGGGGCTCTTGCCCCTGAACTGAGTATTGGGGACTCAGCTGGGCACAAGACAGACCTGGTCCCTCGTCCCTGCACCCCGGCTGAGCTTTAAGATAGAGGCCTTGAAAGGTATTCCCTGCCCAGGAGCATGATGGGGGTGGTCTGACCCATCTGGAGTGCTGCCCAGCGACCTGGGAGAGGGGTGGGAAAGGAAGATGCTGGCTGGGCTCTAGATTTCCTCAGGGTCCCTTCTCTTTGCTTAGGTTTTAGTGTACTGTTGCCTTGGAGATGGGGGAGGGGCTGGAGCAGACTGTAATTCCCCAGAATGGGTGGCAGAGCCCCAGGTGAGCTTCCTTACCCAGAACTTTACTGGCGTTCCTACGCAGGTGGGTCAGCAGGCCCAGGGTGCTTCTGCCAGCCAGGCCAACGGAAGGAAGGAGAGTGGCAGGCCAGTAGGCCAGGCCTGGGCGGGGAGTGGGAGACAAAGGGGAGCCAGGGAACAATCTCAGCCTTGTCCAGCCTCCAGGGAGTAGTGCAGGGTGGCCCAACCCCATTAGCAGGCAGCTCACTGGGCCTTTTGCACACAGCCAACCCCTCCAGCCTGACTCAGACTCAGAGATCAAACTGGCCAGAATAGCCTAAAGCCCTAACCAGGATGTAGGCAATGTGGTGCAGGCTCCCTTTTAGATTGGGCTGTGCCACCATTCCAGTTCTCCCAGGCATTGAGGATGGGCTCTGCCACAGGCTGGGTGGAGAATGTTAAACTCTGGCCTTGGATATCAGAAACCACTCTCACTGCACCGCACCTCTGAGCACCTGGTGCTGGGCAGAGTCCAGAGCAAATGCCTTTAGCAAAATGATGGTTGGTTCAACCACAGGGGATCTGCCAACCTTACTCCCCAAAGACACAAATGAGTTACGCGTCCTTGCAGAGGGACAGGGATTGAGTCTGGTTTCAAGACTCATCCTCGCCCTGGCCGGTTTGGCTCAGCGGTTAGAGCGTCGGCCTGCGGTCCGGAGAGACCCGGGTTCGGTTCCCGCTAAGGGCACGTACCTCGGTTGCAGTTTGTCCCCGGCCCTGGTTGGTCGTGCGGGTGGCAGCCACTCGATGTGTCCCTTTCACATCGATGTTTCCCTCTCTCTCTCTTCCTCTCTCTCCCTCCCACTCTGTCTGTACAAAAAATGAAAAAATGTCCTCGGATGAGGATAAAAAAAAAAAAAAAAAAAAAAAAAAAAAAAGACTCATCCTCTCCTCCCCTTTAAGGAAGTGTCTCGATTCTGAGGACCCAGTTGGAGACAGCAAACCAGCACCAGGCAGCACTGTGGCCTTCAAAATACTTTCACCCATCACCCTTACAAAAGCACCAGCTCAGTTCACAGGATCAATGAGCTTGACAGTGTCACAACTCTCTGGAGCTTTTGCCGGAATTGCCAACTTCTTGTTTCAATGGGTCCACCCTGAAGCCTTTCCAAAAGGCCATTTTAGCATGCTATCTCTAACATCCCAATAAAACAGTGCAGAAAGGCACCAGGAGACAGGGAGTGGGCTTCAGAGGTCTTTATTAAGTGATGCTTTAGTCTCAGTCTGTCAGGGATTGGGAGTGGGGGTGACCCTACTCCCCCTAGGTTGTCCCAGACTTGCTGTCTTGGAGGAAGGAGGCAGGAAGCCTGCTCTCCTCTGAGAACAGCCTGGGAAGCTAGGCTAGTGTTGGGGTGAGGGACAGCAGAGCTGAGATCCTCACCCTCCACTCCCAGGGAGAAGGGCCAAGGCAATCCTGGCCAGTCACCCACCCACAGCCCTGCTCTTGCTGCTCCTTTCACTGTCCTGAGCTATTCATGATCTCTACTCCCACAGTCACCTCCACATTCCAAAAGCTAGCCCCATGCTCAGCCCCACCAGGTCTTCAGTCCTGGGGAAGGGCGCAGGAGGAAGCCCATCAGGATTAGGGCCCCTGACTGAGCAGCTTCAGGAGGCCTCTCCTTTCTGTAGTCAAGGGACTGGTGGGCACAAGAACCCTCACTGGCACACAGGCCGGACTGCCTGCAGCCGTTGGTGGGGCCTGCTCCCTGCCCTGGAAGCTAGATGGAGGGAGCGAGAAAGCAGAGGTGGGACAAATGGGTGTGCAGCCCCAGCAGCATGAGGGGACGCAAGCCCAGGCCCTGCTATCACTGCAGCCAGCTCCAGGCCCCTCTTCAAGTCCCCAAGCTCCAGAGCTGCCCAGACCCCACATGGGGAAGTAAGAATGGGTGGTCTTTCAGGAGGGAAGGGTCTGCAGAAAACCACCCAGATATCTGGTGTTACCCACTCTTTCCCCGGGGCTGGAGGGCCCAAACTCCTAGCCCCAACCACCAGTACTGGGCGAGGAAAAAGGGCCTCTTCTGCATCCCTTCTCCTCAGAGGTCCAGGAATCACTCCAATGAAACACAGACACCCATGCCTGCCACCTGCCTCTGGGGACAACAGGAGTGCTGAGGCAGGAAGGCTGACTTGGGGCCCACAGGCCTCTCCTGCTCCAAATACTTTCCTCCCTTTCCTGACGTCTTGGCAACAGGGGGACCCCACCCTCCCAGCTGGCTCCTGGGCCCTCCCTCAGCCCGTGTGCAGCTGGGCTTCCTTCTTGAGTGCGTGCGTGAGTCTGTGTGTGGTGGGGTGACTACGGGTGGTGTCCTGGCCGCCAGGGAGGGCAGAAGAGATCTGGAGTCAGCCCCACTGCAGGGCTTGGGAGTCAGTCTCAACCAATCTCCTTCCACTGCTTGTAGAAATCCAGAACATTCTTGATGTCCACACTGGCATGTGCAGCAGCCTGCAGGGCTGTCTGTGGAAGGGGGATAAGAGAGATGAGAGTCTAACCTCCTGAACTATGGGACAAGTCACTAAGGGGCTAGGTAACAGGTGATGAAAGAGGAAAAGAGCAACTGTCAGGAAGGTCTGAGAAGGGAGCCTACTCGGGTACCTCCTCCCCATTCCAGTCCCCTCACCTCACCCCATAACCCACCTGCATAGGGCCCGAGAGCACGCTGGGGTTGTCCAGTGGAAGGCCTGTGATGATGGTCACCATGCCACTTGGGTCCTCCTCACCTGCCCCCTGGGCTAGAGTCAGCTGTTTGCAGCTGTCCAGGATCTTATAGAGAGTCCTGGTGGGGAGGAGGGGGAAGGTAGGCCAAGCCACAGCATTAGCACAGCCTGAACACTAGGATTTCCAGGGCAAAGGGGAAACAAGGGGTGGGGAGGGCACCAGCAGGGAGCAAGAGAAACCAGGCAGCTGAGGCAGTGGGTCCTGGGAAGCTGGTACTGGAGGATATGCTATGGGGAGTGGGCAAAGGCACACTGAGTGAGGCACCAAGCCTAAGCATCTCAAGGCCCCAGGGACTCAGGTGTTGGAGCAAATTCTTCTAAGGAGAGACTCGCAGGAGGCCCGAGGCTGGTCCTGCCACCTGTCAGAATTCCTTGGCCCTGTCCTGCTCTCCCAGGGAATGGCACAGTGGAGTGAGGCAGGCAGCCTATCTGAGGTTCTAGGGGTGAGGGCTGAGACTTTACCAGGCATCTGCATCCTGTCTCTTTAGTTTATGTCGCTCAAAGTTCTTCCCCACCTCTTTCTGGCAGCGAATGTACCTGCAAAGGACATAGGAGAGTGGAGGTGGGGGCAGAGGAGAAAGGATGCCTCACACAAAGCAGACTATTGTGGCTCAGGGGCCCAGTTCTACGGGTGCAGGGAGGGAGCACATCTCTCCCCTCACAGGTCTGTTGGGAGCCATTTTGAAGTTTCCTGGCTGCTGGCTCGCTTTTCCTCCTGATAACATCAATTCCTTGGTTCCCCCGGGAGGGGAGAAGTAGCAGATGCTTTTCATGTCAGGGTTTCTGGAGACAAGGTCCGAACAAGTAGGCTTTGTGCAGCTTCCTGACAGATGTGGGGGTGTCGGCTAGCAGGGAGGCCAGAGGAAAAGGCCTGTGTGGGGCTGAGGACCCACATGCTGCAGTGCGCTCATCGTGGCTTCAATGGGAGGTGGGAAGCCCTAGGCAGCCCCAAGGAAAGCACTCCCACCCTAGCAAACCGGATTCAGTCTCTACTCGAAAGCAGGAGAAACTCTGGCAAAGGTGCCCAGGGCTGGGCTTTGCTCCCCTCTCCCCGGAGACGTTGATCTCATATCTGCCCCAGAGGCACATGAACAGCAGGTCAGTGCTCCCCTGCAGAGCTCTTGGCTCCTCCGAACACCCTCAGTACCTAAGAACTTGACTTATTATGTCTTTGGTTTCCCTCCCCAGCAATGAGCAAACTGTGAGCAGGGACTGCAAGTGTGTATCTCACCCACAGGTAACAAGAAACACACAAGCACTTGTTGCCTGGGAGACGAATGACTCTGCATAGGTCTAGCAGGTCTGCACTCACCTGTTTCCTTTTTTAAATTCTGCCTCTAGGTATCGGATCCCATCCCGGGCTCCTGGGTGTTCCTTCTTAAGCAAATCCAGGCCATCGATCACTAATGGCAAAGTGGGTGGGGGTGGGGAAGGACAAAACAGATGAACTCAGAGTGCTGTGACATAAGGCTCTGCTAGATATACCTGAGCTCCTCCAGCACACACTGCAGGAAAAGAGGGACCATGGCTCTGACAGGGCTCCTGAATAAGTCCTTTCAAAGTATGACCTTCTGCCAGTCACATACCTGGCAATTTACCAAGTGCTTTCATTAATTCATTTATTTATATTTGGTTAATCCTCACCTAAAGATATTTTTCCATTGATTTTTAGATAATGTAGAAGGGAGAATGGGAGAGAAACAGAGAAACATCAATGTGAGAGAGACACACTGATTGGTTGCCTCCTGCATGACCCTGAGTGGGCCTGGGGTCAACCTACAACCTAGGCAGGTGACATTGATCAGGAATCGAACAGGTGATCCTTTGGTCCATGTGCTGACACACTAACCGCTGAGCCAAACTGGCCAGGGCCCAAGTGCTTTCATTTAGATATTCTTATGTTTCTCCCAACCATCAGGGTTTAACAGAGATTATCATGCCCATTTCACAGATGAAATGACTGAGGTTCTGAGGTGGTAGGACTTGACCAAGGCCACTGTATATAAACTGGGCCCCAAATAAGGGTCTCTCAATCCCAACTCCAGAGTTTCTTTTAGCCACAGTCTATCTGTCCTCTCACCTCCCCGATATGCTCACCTGTCCTTGGGATGATGACAATGAAGCGGCCACTGGTGGCCAGCTGGCGAATGATGGGGAGGTGGTGGCAGAGGGCCTGGGTGTCAGGGACGAGGTAGGGTGACATTGCTGACTGGGCCTTGGGCTGCTGTAGGCTCCCTTCCAGCTGAGAGACCTCAAGCTGATGAGAGAAGACAAAGTGGGTGGAGCTGTGTGGGCTCCACAGCCTGGGCAGGGGGAAAAGGGACAGGGGACTCCTCCCACCAATGGCCTTGGAGGAAAAGTAGA